CTACATTATTATGATCATTTACTACTGTGTATTATGTACCCAATCTATTCCACTGATCCACCACTCTATTCCTTAGCCAGTACCAGACTGTTTTGATGATTACTACTTTAATATTTCTCCAATTGTTTAGATCTATTTTTATTTGTGAGAAAAGTATTTTGTGGTTGTGTTCACATAATCCCTGGGTTTGTCTTGGCAGGTAAATTCCCAAGAGTTTTATACTGTATGCAGTTATTTTGAATGGAATTTCTCTATTTCTTTTCACAGGGTTTTGTTGGTACTATACAGAAATGGTGATGATTTTTTTGTGGGTTTATTTCATATCCTGCAGCTCTGCTAAAGCTGTAATTGTTTCTATGAGTTTTTTAGGTGAAGGTCTAGGGGTCTCTAAGTATGCCATATCATCTTCTAAGAGTGATAGTTTTATTTCCTTATTGCCTATTCTAATTCCTTCAATTTCTTTTTCTTGTTTTATTGCTGTAGCTAGCATTTCTAGTACAATATTGAATAACAGTGGTGATAATGTACACTTTGCTTTACACTCCTGATCTTACTGGAAAGGCTTCAAATTTATTTCCATTATAGATAATGCTTACTCTTGGTTTTAGATGGATACTACTTATCATTTTAATAAAGGATCCATTGATTCCTATGCTTTTTTAGTTTTTTAGTGTTTTTTAACAGGAATGGATGTATTTTGTCAAAGGCTCTTTCTGCATCTATTGATATAACCTTATAATTTTTGTTACTTTTGTATTGATATGGTCAATTATGTTGATAGTTTTTCTAATATTGAACCAGCCTGATATAAATCCCACCTGTTCAAAGTATGTGATCTTTGTGAGATACTGTTATAATCTCCTTACTAGTATTTCACTGAAAAATTTTGCATCAATATTCATTAAGCAAATTGATCTATAGTTTTCTTTCTCTATTTTTGCTCTCCACGGGTTAGGTAGCAAAACCATATTTATGTGTCATAAAAGGAATCTGGTAGGATTCCTTTCAAATAGTTTATATAGTACTAGGAACAATTGTTCCATAAATGTTTGGCAAAATTCACTTGTAAATCCATCTGGTCCTGGGGACTTTTTCTTAGGGAATTCATTTATTTTTCTAAGATAGGATTATTTAAATATTTTATTTCCTCTTCCATTAACCTAGGCAGTTTATATTTTTCTAAGTATTAAACTGTCAGTTTTACTGGCATATAACTAGGTAAAATAACTCCTAATAATTGCTTTAATTTTATCTTCATTGGTGGTGTATTCACCTTGCCTTTTTTGATACTAGTAATTTGGTTTTCTTTTTTAAAAATCAAATTAACTAATGATTTTCTATTTTTTTTAAACTAGCTCTTAGTTTTATTTTAAATGGTTTTTACTTTCAATTTTATTAATCTTTTCTTTGATTTTCAGGATTTGATTTTGGGGTTTAATTTGGAGATTTTTAATTTGTTCTTCTAGTTTTTTTTAGTTGTCTGACCAATTCATCGATCTGCTCTTTTTTTAAAATTAATGTACATATTTAGAGATATAAAATTTCCCCTAAGTACTGCTCTAGCTACATCACACAAATTTTGGTATTTTGTCTAATTGTCATTCTCTTTAATGAAATTATTGTTTCCATGATTTGTTCTTTGCACCACTCATTCTTCAGGACTGAATCATTTAGTTTCCAATTAATTTTTAATCTATGCTTCTATGACCCTTTATTGAATATAAGTTTGACTGCATTTATATCTGAAAGGGGTGCATTTAACATTTCTGCTTTTCTGCATTTGGTTGTGAGGTTTTTATACCCTAATATGTGGTCAATTTTTGTGAAGGTGCCATGTGTAGCTGGCAAAAAGGTATTTATTCCCATTCAATTTTCTCCAGAGATCTGTCATATCTAACTTCTCTATGGTTCTTTTTAGCAAGATGCAATTTCTCTGCTTATTCCTTTTAATTAGGTCTATTTTTGCTTTTGCTTTGTCTGTTGAGCTGAAGCATAATATATTCTGCTCCAGACCCTTATTTTTACTGCGTGTGTGTCTATTTCAAATGTATTTCTTGTAAACAATACGTTGTTGGATTCTGGTTTCTAATCCATTCTGCTATGTGCTTCCTTTTTTATGGTGAGTTCATCCCATTCACATTCATAAATATGACTGCTAACTGTACATTTCCCTCTATCCTATCTACTTGTTTATCCTTCTCTTTTTTTCTTGTCCTTCCTCTGAACTCTGTTTTCCTCATGACCATTGCCTTCTTTTATCTGCCTTCCCTTTTATCATTCCCCTCCTCTCACATCCCCTACTTTTCCTTATCTCCTTCCCCTGCTACTTCTCTTTTGGGTAAGATAGATTTCTATTACCAACTGAATATTTATATTTTCCCTCTCTGAACCAGTTTAGATGTGAGTGAGGTTTAAGCATTGACTGCCCTTCCTGCATTATTTCCCTCTCCACTATAAAAGCTTTCTTTCATGCCTCTTTTATGCGCAATAATTTTTTCCATTCTTCCTCTCCGTTCCCCTTCTCTTGGGGATCCCTCTTTCTCACTTACCTACTTTTTTTTACATCATCCCAACATAATTGACTCATTTCCACATCCTCTTGCTATGTAGTATCCTTCTAACTGCCCTAAGAATGATAAAGTTCTTAGATGATACATGTATTATCTTCCCATATAGAAAGGTAAATTTGAGTCCCTTATAATTTCTCTTCCTTAGGGCTTGTATTTGAAAGTCAAATTTTCTATTCAGCTCTGGTCTTTTTATCAGGAATGCTTAAAAATCCTCTATTTGATTAAATATCCACTTTTTTTCCCTTGAAGGATTATATTCAGTTTTGCTGGATAGGTTATTTTGGTTGTAATCCCAGCTCTTTTGCCTTCCAGAATAGCATATTCCATACCCGCCACTCCTTTAAAATGGTAGCTGCTAAATATTGTGTAATCCTGACTGTGGCTCCACGATATCTGAATGATTTCTTTCTGACTGCTTGAAGTATTTTCTCCTTAACCTGGGAGTTCTGGAATTTGGCTGTGATATTCTTAGGAGTTTTCATTTGGGGATCTCTTTCAGGTGGTGGTCAATGGATTCTTCAAGGTCTATTTTACCTTTTGGTTCTAAAATATTGAGGCAGTTTTCCTTGATAATTTCTTGAAATAGGATACCTAACCTCTTTCTTTGATCATAGCTTCCTGATAACCGAATAATTCTTAAAATATCTTTCTTTGACGATTTTCCAAGTTATTTCTTTTTCCAATGAGACATTAAACATTTTCTATTTTTTTCATTCCTTTGACTTAGTTTTGTTTTTTGATGTCTCATGGAGTTACTAGTTTCCAGTTGCCCAATTCTAATTTTCAAGGAATTATTTTCTTCAGTGAAGTTTTGTGCTTCTTTTTCCCATTTGGTCAATTCTGGTTTTTTTTTTTAAACTATTTTGATCAGTGAATTTTTGTCCCCCTCTTTTTCCATTTGGCCCATTCTTTTTTTTAAGGCAATATTTTCTTCAGCATTTTTTGTACCTCTTTAACCAAGCTACAAATTGTCTTTTCATAATTTTCTTCCTTTGCTTTCATTTCTTCACCTAATATTTCCCCTACCACTCTTGATTTGGAAATTTTTTTTAAGCTCTTCCAGGAATTTTTGTTGAGATTATGTCTAATTTTTTTTTCTTTCAGGCTTTTCTTACAGCTGTTTTGACTTCATTGTCTTCTTCTGAATTAGTGTCTTGATCTTCCCTGTCACCATAGTAGTCTTTTGTAGTCAAGTTCTTTTTTTGTTTGTTTGCTCATTTTTCCACCCTATTTCTTGATTTGAAACTTTATGTTAATGTTGGGCCCTACTGTGGGGCAGAGGGGCACTATCTCAAGTTTCAAGACTTTTCACACAGCTATTTTCAGAGCTAGTTCTGGGAGGCTGGAAGTTTTAGGTGCTTCCAAAGTGGTGTGATCTGGGGTAATATGTGGTCATCACTCTCCTGGTCAGCACTCTGGGCCTTACCTAGGAAGGACCCCTGATCCCCGCCTGCCTATGCTTCTGACTTTCTGTGCTTCAGTACTATGCCCAGTAGTACTTTTCTTCTCACCTCCCCACTCTCAACTTTTCAGCTTCCTTTTGTATATTATCTTCCCCTGTTAGAAAGCAAGCTACTCGTGGGCAGGGATTGTCTTTTTACTTATGTTTGTATTCCCAGTCCTTAACACAGCTCCTGGAACATTGTAAGCACTTAGTGTTTATTGGTTTGCCTTGCTATACTAATAACCCCTCACATTTCCCATAAAAAGGAGAGACATGGTACAATTCTTATTCCCTAGAACCAAACTATTCATTGCAACTAATTCAATTACCTTTTAGTGTGATTTTCATTCGAATTACTGTAATCATATATAGTTCTATTGCTTCTGCTTTCTTCCAATCTACAGTAAAATGTCTTTCCTCAAAACTCACAGTATTTATTCACTTATAGTTATATAATGACATGTAATATTTCTCATGGAATTGTTTTACTTTCCACAGGATTTTGCCTTGTCTTCCTATCTAGATTACAAATGACCTGAGGACCATGTAGCATAACTCTTTGTGTCCCCCACAGAACCAAATGTAGTGTAATGAATACAGTGGGGCAAATACACCATTTTCAAGTACATATAAAGCTATAGGAACTGTCTTCTTAATAGAGAGCAGATAATTCTAGGAGTTCTCTTAACTTTAAGATACCTTAAAAGGGGACTATATTTTAAAGAAGGAAACTTAGAAAAAGATGGCAGAGTGAAAACAGTGACTTGCTTGAGCTCTTCCCCAAACCCCTCCAAATACCTATAAAAAATAGCTCTAAACAAAAGAAGGAAACTTAGAAATCTAATTAAACTTCAATATTATTGTCACCAGAGTATCTGAACAAGGCCTCAGACCTTCTGACTTCTGAATACGCTGTAAAACCCTAAAGAAGACTAGCTATATCAATATGCACCATGACTAAATTTCATATCTTATCAGGTACTTACAGCCAACTGCTGTTGCAGAGATTTCACCTGGTGCTGAAGTGTTTCTACCTGTTGGTTCTCTTTCTTTGTAGAATTCCCACTTGTGTGGGTAAGCTGTGAGAGACCATTAAGGGCCTGTTTTAGTCGTTCCACATCATTAAGCAGTTCTGTTATCTTAGAGAAAAAGTTAAGAGGAAGAAAACAGTTTCTATTATCCACTCATTAACTAAATACTCATTTAAAAATATTGCAGATCTCACACATCTGTGAAGCTTTCCTTCAACTACACTCAGAACAATTTAGAATACTAGCACTTTGGACACATTTATATGACAGGGCAGGAGTGGGGAGTGGAGGGAGGGGTTAAAGGTATGACTGCTACTCTCTGTGCTTGAGATAGATTGGAGTCAGAAAAGCAATTGAGGAACCAACAAACAAGGGTATTTGAAGGGAGCAGGGACCCAGGTAGAGAATAAGACTGTGCTTCAAGTACTGTTTATTAGGGAGAATGGAGATAAACTTGTAGGTCTGCAGATAATAGCAATAAGGATCTGGACAGACTTTAATAAACTTTTAGGGAGGTGACTGCTGAATGATGGTGGCAGAAGGGTCTGAAAGTGGCAGTGGAGAACAAGGAATATACCAATACCTTACCACTAGCATGGCACAGTGGATAGAGTGGTATACTTGAAGCCAGGAAGACCTGAGTTTAAATGTCACCTCTGATATTTAATGGTTGTATGACTATAGACAAGTCACTTAACCTCTCTGAGCTTCAGTTTCCTCATCTGTAAAATGAGACTAGATGTAATGACCTGTAAAGTCCCTTCCAATTGCATATCTGTGATCCTCCTCCTGGCTCTGTACATCATAGAATGTGAAAGAACAGCTAATATTAGAGAGTCTCAAGAGATATGGTATCTCCCACCATTTAAGAGGGAACCCAGGGAATTCACCCTATCCTTTCCCACTCAGTTATTTTCCTGGACTTCATGGTATCCAGAAACTCATCATTCTGTAAGATGAAAGTAACTCTGAAACTCACAGTTCCTCAGGACCCCCTCCCCCTGCAACCCCCCCTCCCTTTGGCTTGAGAAAGGGGGGGAGGGGTGGATTTTGAAGAGCTTCTCCCAGATGCTCAATTTGACGAGGGTACCTCAGGAATTTACCTCATTATTTCCCAGCCCAGTTACTTTGCTGGACTTTATGATCTTTAGAAACTCTTATTTCTGTAAGATGACATCAACTCTAAAACTGTTACTTTCTCAGATCGTTTCCTATCCTGGCTACAGGACTTCCATCACGCCCCTGCACAGGGTAACCTTCCCCTATCCCCCTTTTCAGCTTCTTTTTTTACATGCTGTCTTTTCCCATTAAATTTTGAGCTCTTTGAGGGCTTGGACTGTTTATTCCTTCCTTTGCATCCCCAGTACTTAACAAAGTTCATGGTACCCAGTAGGTGCTATGTTTATTGACTGACTCCAGTATCTTCAAGAGAAAACCAAGCCCGAGTGAGCAACAGTAAATGTAAGAAATTCAAGATAAAGAGAATTTATAGATCATAGATTTTCAACTAGAAAGGACCTTAGACAGTCACTGAGTTCAACATCTTACTTTTACAGATGAGAAAGAGTGATTGGCCCAAAGTCACACAGATAATAGCTGGCAGAGCCAGGATTCAAACTCAGGTGCTTTGAGTCTAAATCCAGTGATCTTTTTAAAAGAAAATTCTGAGGGCACAGTGAGAAATAAGGCAAAAAAGGTTACTGATTAGGGAAAGGTGAGATATGAGTTGCATAATAAAGGGTGTGATGTAGTGTGCTTTACAGAAGAGAGAAAGCATTCTGGAAAAGAGATGCAATATCCAAAGGACTCAGGGTGGTTGGCAGCCAGTGCTGAACAAGGGAATGAATGGGCCATTAGGGTAACTGGTGTTGGAAGGTGACAGAGGAACTGCATCCCCTTGGATGTCAGTATCTAGAGAGCAGTCCCAGTTACCTTGTGCTAATTCTAGCTGTCACCTCAGCACATAACAGCCTTCTCTTCTTCTGAACTATGAGAGTACTAAGTGTCTTTCATTTGGCACTTAAATACTATCTTCTTAGCTACAGTTTTGGAGGGGAGTAGGGGGGATGTAGATATATCTACAAAATTTCCTAAATGAGACTGCAAAAACCTGAAATCAAAGCCTTTCATATGGCTTTGCATCCTCCACAAAATGAAGCTTAGTACCTGGTTGCTGTAAAAAGTATATTTAGTGCATTTTTTTTAATTGCCCAAGACAATTAGCATTTTATGTACAAGGAGTCATCATAATAAATCTGAACTTATTATCATGACATAATACTGGGTTTCATTTTCCAACTTATAATCATGAAAATTTACTTATTGCCTACCTTATTGTCTTTTGATTCTATTTGTTTGGCAGACTCCTGCATTCTTCTTTGTAAATCAGTAATTGTTGTTAAGGATTTGTCACATCTCTCTTTCTGGTCCTTAATTTCTTGTTCAATGCTCAAGCTCCTCAACTGTATCAATTCCTTTTCATCCCTTGCAGATAGTTCTGCCTTTTTGGCACGGGCAGCCTCTTCACAAACTTCCTCATACATTTTATTCAAGGTGGTCATATTTTCTGTTATATTGGTAATTTGTGCTTCTAAGGCATTCTTCACTCTGTTATATTCTGATAAATCAATAACCTCTCTAGATTCTAATTTCTTAAATGCTTGCTTCAAATTCTGAATCTCATCCTGAAGTTTTGAGATCTTTTCTGTTTTGTCTTGACTTTCTTCTTCTTTTTCACTCAGTCTAGCTTTCATGCACCCAACTTCTTTCTCTAACGCTTCCTTTATCTGCACATGTTCCACCAGGGACATAGAAGAGTGCTTTTGATTCTCTAACATCTGTTGCCATTCAGCCACTTCCCGCTGAGCTTCCTCATGGTGCCTCTGCTTGTCCTTAAGCTCTTCTTTCAGAGCCTCAATTGTGCCATTAAGCGAGTTTTTCAGCTCTTCAACCTGCCCCAAGGGAACATGTTGTTTCTGCAAAATTGCTTTTACTGCAAGTACTTCAGAGGTCTGTTTGGCATTTTCTTCCAGAAGTTTCTCTTTCTCACTTTTTACCTCTGTGTACTTCTCAGACAAATCCTTTAGCCGTCTGTTAAGCTCTTCTGTTTTTTGGTTTAATGTTTTTTCCAATTCACGGGAATTCTTGATGAGAATATCCTTATTCTTTAAATCTTTCTGGATCATGAGGATTTCATTCTTTAACTTTTCATTTTCTTGCTGACATTTCCAAGCCTCCTCTTCCCCTACACTGCATCTTTGTGTCTGTGCCTGCAATTGATCTTTGAGTTCCTTCACAGTGGCTTTAAAGGTTTTCTCTCGCTCTTCAAAACTAACAATTGGCGCATACTTTAGCTTAATGCATTCTTGTATTGTATCAAGTTCCTTCTTCTGGGCTTCAATCTCAACAAGCAATGCTAAAATCTCTTCTTGACCCTTATTATATTTTGCAAGTACTTCAGCATTATTTTCCCGTGTTTCTTTTAGACTTTTGTTAACAGCATTCATTTTATCTTCATGCTCTTTTATGCTGATAAACTCAGCTTTCATTTGGTTCTTAGAATCTGCTAATTTTTTTTTTAATGTTCCATTCTCATCTTTTATTTGGATAAATTCTTGTTTTATACCTTCAAGTTTTCTTTTCACATCTGTCAATTCTCTGTTAGTTTTATCCAATGTACTACTTAATGCTGCTTTAATTTCTTCATGGGTTGTAACAGGCACATACTGCTCAGTTATAGCCTTTTTCAATTTTGCATTCTCAGATGTGATTACATGCAACTTTTCTTTTCCATCACCACATTTTTTATTAAGTTCTAAAAGTTCTTTTTTGAGTTCAGTGATATTGGATTTTAGAGCCATTATCTCTTTTTCATGCTTTTCTAGAGGGATATATGTAGCTTCAAGACGACTGACATTCTTACTTAAATTGGTTTTTTCCACCATCAGCTTCTCAGTTTCCATTTCTCTTTCTTTACACTTCTGTGTCACATCCATTACTTTTTTGTTCAAATCATCAACTGTCAAAGCATGTGATTTTTTCATTTCTTCATTCAATTTTAAAGGAATATAATGAGTTTTCATCTCAATTGTTAAGTTCTGCAACTGTTGGCTTAGTAGCTTATTATCTGCACAAACCTTCTCAAGTTCTTTCTGTAATGTCTGATTCTTAAAAGTTAACTCAGTGATCTTCTTTCCAAATTCACCTGACTTTTGTTCAAATTTGTCCTTAAGTTGTTCATGTTCTTCTGGCCTTACATGTTGAGAGAGTTTAGCTTTATAATTCTCAAGTTCTCTCTTTAACTGTCTAAATTCAGCCTGTGATTTTTCATATTCTCTTTCCATCTCTACAAACTTTTTTGCTTTCTCATTCACTTCATTTGATAATAAGCTCTTCATGTTTTCAAATTTTTCTGGGGGGATGGAGAGGGCCAACTTTGTTGCTAATTCTTTTAGCTGGCCTTCCATCTCCAAGGCTTTTCTTCCTCTCTTCTCTCGCTCTATTTCAGACATGCTAAATTCTTTCTGCAATCGCTTATTTTCTTCTACTAGTCTCCCTTCACCCTTTTTAAATTCCTCTACTAACATTTCATTTTGTTTGATTTGGTTCTTCAGCCTTCCCTACTTCAGCAGAAGCCCCCTCATATTTTGCTTTCATTTCTTTCAACTGCTCCCTTAGTTCTTCGGTTAATCTGTTACTTCCTGAAGCTGCTTCATTCGTCAAGTGCTCCTTCAGAGCAAGAAAATGAGTCTGCATTTGCTTTACTTTACCTTCTGAATCGTACATTCTCTTTTGCACATCTTTTAAAGCATCTTCCAATTGCTTTATCTGTTCATCAGAATCCTCCTTGACTCTTTCACATTCTAATGCCAAAGCCTTGCATTCTGCCACTTTATGGGCCAGTTCATTTTGGAGCTTAATCTTCTCTTGTTTAGCTGAATCACAAAAGGCTCTCATGGCATCTAACTCTTTCTTTAAAATCTCATTTTCAGAAATGGCAGTTTGACTGGATAAGGACAGTTCCAATGGTCTTAGCATGGACCTTGTTTGTATGTGGGCTGGCACTGGAATACCTGAAGATGTATACTAGAAGGAAAGAGAGAAAAAGATATTGATTATATAAAGCCTAAAGAAAAAGTATTAATATACTTGTTTGCTAGGTTTATAAAAGTTCATGGAACTATTTATCCAAAAAGTTACTAGTCATAACAAAAATTTATTTGAGGTGGTAAGAGAAATTTTTTGTTGTACAGTTGTTTCAGTCATTTCAGACTCTTCTGTGACCCCATTTGGAGTTCTCTTGGCAAATATACTGGAGTGAGTTGCCATTTCCTTCTCCAGATCATTTTACAGATGAGGAAACTGAGGTACACAGGGTTAAGTGACTTGCCCAGGGTCACACAGCTACTGTCTGAGGCCAGATTTGAACTCAGAGATGAATCTTCCTAACTCCATCCACTGCTCTACCTAGCTGCTCCCAAGAGAAATTCTACAGCAAAGTAGTAACAACTAATTCTATTCATTAGTCTAATATAGTGATTCTTAACCTTTTTTTCTGTCATAGGCTCCCTTTGGCAGTCTAGTGAAGCCCAACAACCACTTCTTAAAGTAACGTTTTTAAATGCATAAAGTAAAATATATAGGATTGAAAAGAAAACAATTATATTGAAATACAGTTGTCAAAAGATTTTGAAAACAAAGTTGTGGACTTTAGATTAAGAACCCATAGTCTAATACCTCACAGGGATACAAAATGGTCTTTTTTCCCTTCTGCTCCCTACCACACACCACAATTCAGTTCCATATATGAATACACAAATCATTTTTTGTTTTATATTTTACCCATTTTAAAACACAGAACATCAGGTTTGGAGTGCTTCAAGATACTGACAGAAAGAGAATCTTTATATTTATTAAATAAATTTCCAAGTATAATGTGTTAACTCAAAATTTTCATAGGACGGATGACCAAAATCTATCCTCAACTCAATTTTATTTTTTAAAAAATATCAACTATGCATGACAATTATAGTATTTTAGAAAGTAAGGTGTGTACACAGATTATAGCAGAAAGTCTGTAACCCTAAATCTAGTAAAAAGGAAGAAAATGGGGATTTTCTTAAAGAAAAGAAAAAACATATTTATTAGAAACATTAAAGGTTGTAATTAACAGTGCCCATCAACTAGAGAATGGCTGAATAAAAATGAAATGGAATATTATAACACCATAAGAAATGATGAAAGAAACGTGAGATCTATGTGAATTAGTAGTGAAATAAGTAATACAAGAAAAATAATTTATTTGAAGGATATATGTAACATAGTAAAGAAAAACAACGTTGACAGACTAGAAGTACAGAATGAGACATGTGGCCAATGGGTAGCTTTTTTTTTTTTGCTTAAGAAAGGAAAGAGTGTCTGAGTATTTTTTTAAAAATGCTCAGAACAGAGCAGAAAGAAGTTTAAAGGGAGACACAAATAGGTACAACTTTGAAACTAACATGTTGAATTAATTTAATACTTGTAAAAATAAACTTTATAAACTTATGGTTTCATATATAATCTTTTTATAATTTTTGTATATGGAAATGTTCATGTTTTATCAAATTTTTAAAAATGAAAAATAATTTTTAACCGTTTACTTTGATTTCTGTTTATGCCTGGATCTGGGTCAGTCTTGTCTCCTAGAGCTTGTGCATGGGATCATAGATTTACACCTAGTGATACCACTACTGTATGTACAACAATGAGTTAAAAGAAGAAGAAAATGGACATATATATGTATATACACACACACAAACACATATCTATATGTCAATAACTGCACTTTTATCTTTTAGCAAAAAAATGGAAACTAAAGGGGTGCCCAATGACTATGGAATGGCTGAACAAATAGTGGAATATTATCGTACCATATGAAATGACAAAAGGATGGATCATTTGTTAGGAGGGTTGTATTTATTTTTATTATTATAATTTAGGAGGTGGATGGTGATAGTGATCCAAAGAGAGAGATAAAAAGAGAAAGAGACAGAGAAGGAGAGACAGAGAGAGACAGAGAGAAAGAGAGAGAAGCTCCAATGAAGCATTTAAAAAGAACACACAGAAGAGAACAGAAGGAGATTCAGACAAGCTGAACAAGTTTCAAACTAACGTGCTGAATTTATAACATACTTTTAAAAACACAGCTTGAAACTGAAGATTCACAGTATCATATGCAATTTCCCCTTTTTATTTTTCTTTGTATATGGAAATATTCAAGTTTTTAAGTATGGTGTGTTTATAAAGTTCAGGATAACAAAATTTTTTGATGAATTAAAAAAAGAGCTATAATTTTACTTCATTAAGAGTTTTAATATATTAACATCTTACAAATATCAGTAATAGGACAGAGTACAATTATAACAAGCTGCCGATTTTATATTCCTCTATCCCCAAGAACAAGCATAAAATTGGGAGGGAAAATGGGTGTTACAGATCTATGATTTCAGCAAAAAACTTCTTTCTCCAGAAGCAGAACAGCAACTCATCCATGACTTATAGTCTTACTCAACTGCTTCATGAATTTTGAGGTTAAGTGACTTGCCTCTAATCTGTATAAGGTAGAATCGGAACTCAATACCAGGTCTTCTTGACTACAAGGCTAGCCCTCTAGAAGTTCACTATGCCACAGGGTCTCTCAATAAATATTTAATAAGTAACATGAAAATGATTTTAAGCACTTTGTTTTAATACGATTATAAATGCTAATCAATTAAATTTGAGCTATCCTCAAATAGACTAAGAGAAAGGAAGCCAACAACATAGAAGCAAACATAGCAGTAATTTTCTCCAAATGTGCTTATAAAGCAAATCTTAAGCTATGATGTCCTGGTGGAAATTTATCAGTAGCTAAAATTATTATTAAGTTCATTGACAGCATCTACACTCTAAGTATTCATTATTAAGAGTTTATGGGGGCAGCTAGGTGGCGCAGTGAATAGAGCACCAGCCCTGGATTCAGGAGGACCTGAGTTCAAATCTGGCCTCAGACACATAACATTTACTAGCTGCATGACCCTGGGCAAGTCACTTAACCCCACTGCCTAGATAGATAGATAGATAGATAGATAGATAGATAGATAGACAGACAGACAGACAGACAGACAGACAGATAGATAGATAGATAGATAGATAGATGAAAGAAGAGTTTATGCCTAAGATTCTTAAGTATGTCTCGTTGACATTTTACATTCCTTTAGAAATCATAGAACATAGCTTTCCTGTGTGTTGTCTCCCTCATCACGATGTGAGCTCTTTGAGAACAGGAGCTTTTACTTTTCTATTTACATCCGTGGCACTTAGTACAAAGCTTTATACGTTATCAAGTACTTAATAAAAGCCTTATTCATTCATTCATAAAACTTACAGCAAAGAACTTGTAGCTTACGTAATCTAACACAGTTATTTTATGGTTGAGAAAAACTGAGGCCAAGAGACATTAAATGACTTACTCAAGGTTAATGGCAAATAAAGGTCTCTTCCCATAACAAAATGTGGGGAAAGTAGAAGAATAAACAGAGAGGCATATACTTTAAAAAAAAAAAAACCTAGATCACTTTCTCACTTGAAATCTGATTTTCATTAAAGTTAAGTCTCTGGAACAGCCTTGTTTTAAAATGCAAGTAAAAAGTACACTAATTCTAAAAATAAAAGATTGTTTAAAAACTGTTCATGCCTCAGCTCCTCTTCATATGTACAAATAATTAAGAGCTGACTGAGGGGGGCAGCTAGGTGGCACAATGGATAGAGTAACAGTCTTAGAGTCAGGAGGACCTGAGTTCAAATCCAGCCTCAGACACATAACACTCAGTAGCTATGTGACTCTGGGCAAGTCAAGTCACTTAACCCCAATTGCCTCGCAAAAAAAAAAAAAGGCAAAAAAAGAGCTGGGGAGTTATTAATGAAAACATGTTAACAACAAAGAAAAAGAATCTTGACTCACTTAAGTTACTCTCAACAAAATTACTTCAGAGAGCACCAGAATGCTAAATCTTTTTAAGCCAGCCTTTGCAATGGACAACAAACCTGTTACAAAGCACTAGAACTTGTTTCTCCAGCAAGTAATTTTATAAATACATAAATTCTGTTTAACATAAAATGGCATAAAAGCATAAGTAAATAAGAGTGTATTTTTTATTTTTGTTCAAGAGAAATAGTTACCTGTGATTCTGTAACAAAAATTTGATTCTGCTTATGAAGCATATCTTCTTTTCCTAAATTAACAACAAAAAAAGTAAATTATAATCTAATCATGCAAACATAAAGTTTAAATGTTAGACTGGTTCTATAATCTCAATTTATTACATACAAAGAATAGAAAAATGAGAGAAATATAAAAATATACTTAATCCTAATAGTTTTTACATAAAATAATCTATTCTGAAAGGTAAAGATATTAAAATCACAGAATAAAAGAACCCCGAATTAGAAAGGGACATAGAAGATATTGGTGCCAAGAGTCTAGTCTATATTCTAGCTAACAAATCATCCAGCCTTTTCTTGAAGACATACAGTGAGAAGAAACCTGCTACCCCCAGGGCAGTATATTCTGCTTCATTCAACCCAATTCAGTGAGAAGTTATTAAGCACTTACATTGTGCTAGGCACTAGTGATACAAAGACAAAAATCAAATAGTTACTGCCTTCAAGAAGCTTATATTCTATTTGTTAGGAAACTTATCCCATGATCAACTCTAAATCTGTCTTTCTACAATTGCTTCTCACTCTGCCTTCTGGGACTGAGAAGAAAAAAGTTCAATTCCTCTTCCATATGACAGTCCTTCCAATATTTAAAGATCTCTAAAAGCATGATAGAGAGAAAAAATTGTTGGATTTCAAGCCTGAGAACCTGGGTTCAAATCCAAGTTCTATTATACTACATGTAGGGAAAGTCACTTGACCATTCAAATTCTTGTTTCTTCAAGTATAAAATGAGGGGCTTGTATTATATGATCTCTAAGGTCTTCTTTCAACCCTAAACTTCTAGTCTTATGTCTTTTCTTCAACAGGCTAAACATCACCACCATCCTTCAACTTATATATGGCCAGATCAGGCCTGCTCCCACCCTGGTGGCCATCCTCTTCAAACTTGGGAGATGATGTTGGCTTGTAAATGTCATTTCTAAAATGAGGTGCCTAGAACTGAAACACAATATTCATAACGTATTCTGATCAGAGGGAAAAACAGTCACACTATCACCTCTCTAGTCCTGGACACAAAAGCCTCTTGAACTCAGCCTAACACTGCTTCATTTGCCTAATAATGAGCTTCTGATTCATTAAAAAGCCCAGATCTTTTTCAGGTGTAGCTACTCCTATACAGCCTGTACTTCAAAGTTGATTGTTTGAACACGTGCTATTGGGTCTTATCTCATATTTAACTGGCTATGTAACACTGAGTAAGTCACTTCAGCTACTCCTCTCACACTAGAAGTTTTTTAATCTGTGTAATGGGGCTGATAATACTTTCACTGCACACTGCTGTGAAGAAGACAGTTTTAGTAAGCCTTAAAGTGCTATAAAATGTGTTATTATTAAAATTCATGACAAGAGGGAGTATAACTAATCATAACTAAGTTGAATTGAAATAAAAAAGGATTAAGAGACATTAAAGGTGTATTTAGCTAGAAGACTATGCAAAATAAAAGTACATCAATTTTAAATATGTATATATATGTAATTAATAACTTGGCAACAAGTTTTTTTTAAATCGATTTTTAAGGAAATGCTATCTGTCTCTAAAACCAAAATACACACTCCCTAAAGGATCAGTGTTTAGGGGACAGAACCAAGCCATTTATGAAGGAGAAAAAACAGTTCAAAAGCCACACGAAAAGTTAGAGGACTGCAGATTTAGAGCTTAGAGATCAACTAGTCTAAACTCCTCATTTTACAGATTTTACAAGAAACAACTCCAGACACTTGCCCAAGGTCACACAGGTGGTAAAAGGCAGAGCTAGAATGTGAACCCAAATTTTCTGACTCTAAATCCACCACTCTGGCTACTATGCCATTCTACCTTTCCAAAAGAAAGTAATCAAAACACTTAATAAATGAAGAAAAGCAAATCAAAACAAGCTTAAGATCCACTCTACATCACTAGAATATGCAAAATATTTTTAGATAGATAAAATCTAAGATTAGCAGGACTATGGGGAAACAGGCACTTAAATACATTATTAGTGAGTCCAAAGAATAATCCAAGACATTCTGGACAGCAAAATACCATATATAGTAAGAACACTAAAACTGATCATACTTTTTATCCAGTGGCTCATTGATTGGATTCTATCCTCCCAAAAATCATTAGGAAAGAAAACAGGTTTTATCCATACTAAAAAAAAAAATCTGCTTTAATTGTAATAACAAAATATTGGAAACTATGTATTAAAATAAATTATGGTATGTTGATATAGTGAAATATTATGTGGTATTAAAAAAACAAGAAAATTTGGACTTACATAAGTTCATGCAAAGTAGAGGAAAGAATGAGAAAAGAGAAGGGTTAGGGAGGCAGTAGACAGTAGGTTTGTGGTGGGTGGGGGTGGGAGAGAAGGAAGGAAGAAAAGAAAACAGGACCAAAAATATGGAACTTTGGGCTGTTCTAGAATGACAGACCACACAACATCATTCTCTCTTTTTAGTGAGGCATTTAATGTCCTCTGTAATATCCTCCTGCCAATCTTATTTTCACATTATACCCATCAAGCATATCCCAGAACAACTAGACTACCTCTGTTCCCTCTTGGTCCCAAAAGGCAGAATTAATAGCAGTGGGTTGAAACTACTCCCCCTATGGGGCAGCTAGGTGATGCAGTGGATAGAGCACCAGCCCCAAATTCAGGAGGGCCTGAGTTCAAATCCGACCTCAGACACATAACACTTATAAGCTGTGTGACCCTGGGCAAGTCACTTAACCCCACTGCCTAGCTTAAATGACAAAAAAAGAAATGTTTTAAAAAATGAAATTACTCCCCCTACCACCAAAAAGGGGGGGGCGGGGGCAAATTCAAGCTTGATTTAAGAAATAACTTCCCAATAATTAGTTATCCAAAAGTGGGTTTCTATGCCTTGTTTTCCTCATCTCAAAAATGAAGATGATGATGATGATGATGATGATAATAATAATAATAATAATAATAATAATAATAATAATATAATAATAATATAATAATAATAGCACCTAGATCCCAGGGTTATTACAAAAATCAAAGGAGACAACATATGTACTATGTAAATCCTAAAGCCCTATAACTGTTACCTATTGTTGTCATTATTATTGCTGCTGTTTCTTCAAAGGGCAGGAATTTGTTCGGTATATAATAAGGAGTTTTCTATTTCTATTTTCTATATTCTGTTTTCTATTTCAGGTGTGGGTTAGCCTGGAAAATCCCTGAAGTCACTTCTACCTCTGGAATTCTGTGACCTCATTGAATGTAGTCTCACAGGTTATCCCTTATGCCTGGAACAGACTTTCTATCCATTAAATTCTTTTCTCCTTTTAAAGCCCAGCTCATAGAACTTCTCTTCCAAGTTCTAGTTCCCATTCAGATAGGTCACTTACAAACTTTCTGAGACTCAGTTTTCTCATTTGTAAAACATATTTCACAGAAGTAATAATAATAACTGATATTTGTATAGTGCTTAAGGTTTGTCAAGCACTTTACATCCATTGTCTCTTTTGATCCTCACAACAGCCCTATGGGTCAGGTATTATTACTCAGTTTTCTCATCGATAAAATGGGAATCCATGACTTGCCTATTGACAGCTAATAAGTACCGGACACAAAATTCAACCACAGGCCCTCATGACTCCAAGCCTAGTCCTCTTTCTACCATACCACACTGTCTCTCTTCAATTAATCAATCAACAAGCACTGTGCTAGGTAATGGGGCTATAAATACAAAGAATGAAATAATTCCCACTCTCAACAAGGACATATATAAATATGAGAATAATTACAAAGTATTTAAATGCATGGTAGTTTGGGTAGAGGGCACCAGCAAATGGGTAAGAAATCACAAAAAGTTGCACATAGAAGATGATGCTTGAGTTGCATCTTGAAGGAAGAGACATGTCCTATGAGGCAGAGGTGAACACATTCCAGGCATGGGGGGTGGCCAGCACAAAAGCATAGAGATGGGAGACTGAGTCACATGTGAGAAACAGAGACAGGGGCAGTTTGGCTGGATTGTAGAGTATAGGAAAGGGAGTAGTAATATACAATAAGGCTGAAAAGATAAGGTGGGTCCAGGCTGTGAAAGGTATTAAAAGTTAAAAAGAGGCATTCATATTTGATCCTAGAAGGAACAGGGAGCCAAAGGAGCTTACTGAGTAGGGAAATGACATGGTTAGACCTGCACTTTAGGAAATTCACTTTGGCAACAGCATATGGGATGGACTGCAGATTAATCTGGAAGCCATTGCAATAATTAAGGTGAGAAGTGGTGTTAGCTGTGTGAGTGTACAAAATGCCTCCAACAATGTAAGAGATGGTACGAGAGGTAAAAACAGTAAGTTTTGGCAACTAATTAGATATGTTTGGGGAGAATAACTGAGGTGATGACAACAGCAACAAGGTTGTGAACTTAGGAACCTGAAGGAATGATGAGGAAATGCTCTGTTCCCTTATGAGGAAACATTCTGAAAAGCTTTAGGTGCTTTATAAATATAAGCCATACCATTACAATGAAGCATGTCCTGATTCCCCAGCAAAAATATACAGTAGATGGTTTGTTCACTTGTTAACAAAAGATGTTTGTTCATTTTCTTAAATGATCGAGTTATAGCTTGACAATCATAAAACAAAATGACTGTAAAGCTGCTTATAAATATTTTAGATTTATCCTATATAAATACTGACAATTTCTTAATATGTATTTTCTCTGTTAAATTACATACAAGTCTTTTTTTTTAATGTTACCTCTCTCTTACTATTACTTTTAGAACTTCGTTTAGAGACTTAACTTATTATTTCTTATGCCCTCCTTGAGAGGCAGGGACTGGACTACTGTTTTTCCTTTTTGTATTCCCAGCAATTAGCAAAGTAATTTGCACACAGTATGAGTTTAATACAGGTGTAGTAAGTCATAAAATATACAGAAGCGCTAATATATTATCAGAATATTAATAATTTGTGTCTCTAAATATAACTAGTTAATTCTCCATTAATTTTAATGAGGTTTTTTGTGTATAAAACGTACAATTTTATACATTAAGGTTTCAGAATTTCACTAGTATGGCTATTCCCTCCACCAATACTGATCATAACCACTTCAAAAAGCCGCTATACTAACTCTGAAAATTACTGTGGCCAAAATATTCAATTAACCTATAGCTAAATTGGGGATAAATCTCTCCAAATAGGACCTCAGAAGCCAAATTTCATCATCAAGTCGATACTCAAAGCCTTTCCAGCTTGGTGGAAAGTGTCAGAGCTTGTGCTCTGATGACAGTTATTAGAAAGCCAGGGCAACGTCCATACCAAAATGAGCCAGTTGAGAAGAACATTAGTAAACGGGAAAATGTAGGTATATGCATACTTATTGTGTATGTGTATATGTTGCATATCAGGCAGTTTAAAGTGGAGAACAATGAAAAAACTTGGAAGTTACACCATGCATGGCTTCAAGTTGTATTAGTGGTTTCTTGAAATTTCAAGAAGTTTTAAAATATTTACTCATATTTCTTACAATCATCTTCAGGAATGTATGTAATAATTTCCCCTAATATGTGAGGGAGTGTATCTTCCTTTCAGTTTAAAAGAAAAAAAGTCTCACTTCATAATCTCCAAAGTCAATATGGTAGAACAGACACTGACTATACAAAAATGTGCTTTATATAAATATAAAATGTTAAGTTAAAACCTATAAGTAACACATTTAACTCTGGTTGTTTCCATCTAGTCTTAGAGAAGTGCAATATATTGGTAATTAGATTAAATTTAACAACATCATCAAGAAGAATTACATTGAGTAAGACCAAATAACCTTTTTTCTTGTTATAGTCTAAATATGAAGTATAACTAGTATTTAGGTACTTACGATTATTGAAGGTTCCCCCATAGTCACTCTGAAATGAGAAACACAAATTATAACATTTTAAATAAGAAGCTACTTTATTTTACTCATTTCTACATTGGTATGATACCTAAACAACCACCATAAAACCTTCTTAATGTCAGTATCAAGAAAATAATAAAAATAATAGCTCACATTCATTTTAATCTTTAGAGTTCAGAGTGTTTTACTTAGGACAGTGAAATTGGTAGTTCAAGTGCACCTTCAGTCTACTTTACAGGGAAAGTAGAGCCTCAAAGAGGTTAAATGATTTGTTCCTGGTCACACAGTGAGCAAGTATCAGAACTAGGATTCAAAACCCAGGTCACTTCAGACCAAATTTAATGCTCTTTCCAAGACATTAGGCCATCTGATATACTTCACTTATTTCCACTATAAAACATTTTGCTCCAAATCCTCTAAAATTACATGTATTTAATAATTTATTAGGAATAAAGAAATTTACTGCACTTTTTTAAATAAAAGCAGACAAAATTATGAGAAATGCATATTTCTGGGCATAACTCATATACTTGCCTACCTAGAAGAAATAGACTGGAAATAACTTCAAAACATCTTTCAATATACTTGCTATTTTCGTTATCACTGTGGAGATAGAAGGGTGGAAGGCCACCTAACTTCCTATAACTTTTCATGATGAGTGACTCAATTTTGAAAACTGTCCTTCATTTCATCCAAAGCAAGAAGGCAAACGCCTAGTATTTTAAAACCTTTTCCATCCTTTGCCTTGTCACTAGACAATAATGAAATTCTTACAGCAAGGCTGAAATGCAGATAAGCCTGCCTCTAAGACTAATGCCAACGGTTATGGGGCAACTATGGGGTTATAGGGCAATACATGGAGAAAGTAGCTGGGCCAGCAGTCAAGAAGGCTGACTACTCAAATGTAACCTTAGGCACTTACTAGCTATGTGACCCTGGGCAAGACACCTGTTTTCCTTGGTTTTCTCAGCTGCAAAATGGGAATAATAATAATAGCACCTACCTCCCAGAGTTGTTATGAGAAACAAATGAGATAATATTTGTAAAGTGCTTAGCACTGTACCTGGCACACTGTAGGTGCTACATAAATGCTATTATTATGATCATTATTATTATTATTAATAGCAACTAGCTATTATTCTAAGGGGTATATAAAAATCCTTTAAGCCCTATAAAGAAGCTTCCATCTGCCTGTGTCTTAAAAAATAAAGTTTCTATTAGCCTACTCTGGACTTCACGCAATCTACTATCTCTATGTAAAAAAATGATAGGTTTTCTGAAACTTGAAAAATCAAAAACACACTTCACTTTGCAAAGAAATACTACCTAGAATTATATAGATAACAGAATTTTAAGATGGAAAGTGAACTCATAAATTTTCCAATTCAACTCCCTTATTTTACAGATGTTAAAACTGCAGCCCAAAAAGGTTAAGCAACTTGTTCAAGATCATACATTTAATTAGTGTTAAGGGCAGTACAACTACATCACGTTTTATTATATTCTAATGGAATCTCAGAGAGCCAACACTTTGTCAGTCTATTTTAGTCTATTTTAAATACTTTTATTTTAATATTTTATTTAATATTTTATATTATATTAAATATTTTATTAGCATTGTTGTTTATTATTTATTAATACTTATATTAATATAATCTTATGTATTAATTTATATTAATATTTCTATATTATTATTTTTATTATATTAAATATTTTAAATACTTTTCTAGCTAGACAAAAGTAGCTGGGAGGATGTAGACAGTCTTGAGTGGAGCCAATAAGGAGAGCTTTCGTAAGTCAAGTTGGGACTAAAAGGAGGTCATAGAGAGATTCCCAAAACTTTAAATTTCCATATATTTGAATTGTTCTTGATCCCACAAGATACAAATACATAGATATAATGTACATCTTGAAATGTTACTATAAAAATAGCATATGTGTGTGTACATGTATTTATATATACTTTTGTGGGTGAAAACACATACTAATAACACTTTCAAGTCCATATTCTGATGTGAAAATCATAAACAATATTATAACTAAATTATCAAGTACTAGCATTATTGTATTATGTGCATGAACAAGATCTTTTACTTCTAAAATTTAACACGAGTCAGAACAAGCACTGCAATATGCCTTCAAAGTAATTCAAAAAGCAAGTTTTCAAGGTAATTTATCAGCGCACTGAAGATAGTGCAAATAGCTTTTTTGGTAACACTTTATTAAAGATATTTGCAAACTAGATATTATGTCAACTTAACTGTTCATGACTGACAATCAAAAAATGGCTACTCTTCTAGATGCATAGTTCCCAGATAAATTCGGTATCATGATACGTTATAAAGGGGTAAAAAAGTTTCTCATTTAATTTGTTGAAGTTTATTAGAAGAATATTTTCTGTTAACAGGATATATATCAAAGGAGTAGATAATTACAATTTTAAGAGAGTTAAAAATCTTAGGAGCTATTCAAACATTGCTATAATGTAGGGAATAGTACTTACCTCCAAAGGTTGGTGTGAGGATCAAATGAGATATATTTGTAAAGCACTTAACACAGTGTTTGGCACGCAGTAGGTACTATATAAATACTTCCTGAAGTTAAGAATGGTTAATTGACACGCCTATAGTCATAACAGCAGGTATGAGAGGTACATGCACATAAAATATGCCAAAAGAAGTGAGGATATACTATCTCTGTATTCAAATATGACACCACACCTTCGGTTTTTGAAAATTTTTGAAGCTGTTTTCCCAGTAACAGTTATGGAAATGTCCTAAGTCGTACGTTCTCCTGTATCTCAGTGACTAATAGCATCTATCTGACATACAGCCACTTGGAGCAGGTCTGTGGTTACAGAATAAAAAAAGCTAACTTTTTAGGTCAAGCAGGTCAAGTCCAACCATGGTACTCCAAATTATGAAATAAACTTATGAAAACATATAATCCTTGAAATTTTGCTATCTACTTGTAGGAATAAGTCATTTTTAGCGAACCTACACATAGAGATATCTAACCTGCAGGAAAACAACAATTTGCAAATTTTTAAAAATAAGATAAAGTAAGTTTAAAAGTAATTAGATTTGTCTTCTAAAGTTTAATTGAACCCACGATTCAATGTTGATACCTCATAATATTTAAATCTATTTTTCAGAGCTTCAATAGTCCTTAAGCTTTCTTCATGCTGTTTTTCCTTGGCTGTTAAAAGGGATCTCAGTTTTTCTTTCTGAAATGAAAAGAAAAAAAAAACCTAAAAACTAGGAAGTCCCTACACTGATGAAACCACAGATCAGACTGACACTGCCTCCCTACCTCCTACCCTACCAAAGTCCTCCATAATGGAAAATTTCATGATATTGTGATAACACAATATTTTACCATAGCAAAACCACATTTGTTGAAAGATTAAAAAGAAATGAAAGAATTTTAGCATTAAAAGGGACTATTATGAATTATCTAGACCTGACAATTCACACTCTAGTTTTCTCTCATTACTTGACAACCACCTTTCTACCCATAAAAATCTATGCCCTCAATCCTGTTCTCCTGATTGGCAACTCCCAAACAGAAGCTACCATTTCACAAGGGGCCTTAGCTCTATTCACTTCACTCTACTCTCTGGACTTCTCTATCTCCATACCAGCTGCCTTACTTCCTTACTGCCCTCACTTTCTAGATCCTCTTTATGTATTATCCTTCCCCTTAGAATGTAAGCACTTTGAGAGTAGGGATGGTCTTGTTTATTTATATTTGCATTCCCACTTTAACATAATACCTTGGATATAGTAAGTACTTAGTTCTCTCTTTGTGTGTCTGTCTGTCTGTCTGTCTCTCTTTCTCCCTCAACTTTACAGGTAGAAGAACAACTCTTAAGTTGCATTAACTTGAGATTAACTTGCAAAAAAACCCAAAAAAACCTTCTGGCTACTTAACTGGACTTCATCATCTCTTGAATGTACTCTAGCAACTCTCTAGATCTCTAGAAACTCACCAGTCTGCAAGATGAAATCAACTGTGAAACAAACATTCTCAGATCATTTCACATCCTGGCTGCAGGACTTCATCATACCCGAGCTGGAAGCCTCACACACCAACACCACTACCACCACCACCCCCATCATATTGTGAGCTCTTTGACAGTAAGGACTACTTTACTTTTCTTTCTACACACAGAGCCTGAAACATAGTGGGCACTCAATAAGTGCTCATTGGCTCTGATAACTAGGACTAGAATCTAAGTCTCTTGATTCATAATCTAGTTCTTTATAATAGTGTTATGTAGAATTTTTACATGAGCATCTTTTCCTCCAAAAAGCTTTTTTTCTCCTACCTCATTTTCAAGGTCATCAGCAACCATTACTTCCTGAAAAAAAGAAAATTAATTTCAATATTCATAGAAAATTTTTAAAATAGATGAGCTTTGCATCCAATAAAAAGAAAAACAACTTCATATTTAAAAAAATATATCACCAATGACAGGGATACAAAGATAAGAACGAGTACATACTAAAATTATTTATGGCAATAAATTTGTGATCCTATATGGGCTTATGAGTTATTTTCATACAGTTATCTTGCTGGTGTAGTAGACAGAAAAGACTTAACTTCAAAGCTAGGATGTCCTGGGTTCGAATTACAAGCTGAATAAAACTGGGCAAGTCATAACTCCTCAGTGCTCTAGGTTATATTCTTTAAGACCAGATTGGACTGAGGAGGTCCCGATATCAATGAAATCACAAGTCCAGTCTCTATCTCTATCCTCCTTCTGCTTTCACCCAAGTTCATTTTCTGTTATCTCTGACTCCTCTACTTCTTGCATACAGAATCAAGTCAAGTTTCATCAGTTTTTCACATCCCTCCCAATTCTTCTTTTCTATTTCTACTGCCACTTTCACTCAGGCCATTATCACACTTACTACTTATATGACTTTATATGACTTCTGGTAATGCACTTAAGCTCTCTGGCCTCAGTTTCCTGACCTGTAAAATAAGGGGTTGGCATATATGGCCTCTGAACTACATGTCCATTCAAGTTCTAAATCTTTAAGTTAAAATTAATTTTCAAACAAAGATCAGCCTTCTGAGTAGGTGGTACATTGGAAAGAGTACTGGGTCTGGAATCAGCAAGACTTCAGTTCAAATCTAGCCTCAGATACTTACTATGTGACCTTAGCTAAATCATTTAACTTAACTTAACTAAAATTAGGCTACATCACCAGCTATCTCACAGGACTGTTGTGATAATCAAATGAGACAGATACAAAGTGCTTAGCACACTGCTTGGTACATGGTAGGTGCTGTATATGCTAGCTATTACAATGATGATCATTTTTTCTCTTCTACTTCCCTCCCTCTCTCACTCTGAGAAAGCAAGAAAAGCAAAACCCCTGTTACAAGCACATATAATTAAGGAAAATAAAATTTCTCATTGGCCATGTCTTTAAAAAAATTATGTCTCAATCCTCAATCTGTGCTCTGTGTCCAGCTATCCAGTCCTATCCCACCCTTACCATGTGGGCTAAGAACTCCAGAAGCTGCTGCTGCAATTCTTTTGCTCCCATTACCTGGTACAGTCTTGCCCGGACACTGCCTGAGCTGAACGGTGCTCCACTCTCACCCCAGTGTGACAGACCTTTCCTGCCAACCTTCTACATTGTCTTGGGCTGAAAAATTGTTTCATTCTGTCCTTTTGTGGCTTCTGCCACTCCAGAATTCATTTTGAGATGTTATTTAAAGTTGTTAGAATGGAATTTGTGAGGTCAGGTGAGTCCCTGCCTTCTCTCCACCATCTTGGCTCCACCCTCCTCAACTGGCTTTTTAATTAGTCATTTTGCTTCTAATATTTCTTTCCTCCAGCCCATCTGGCACACTGCCCCTAAATCAATCTACTTAAAATGATATTTTTAACATGTTTAGAAACTTTCCAGTTCAAAATTCTCAATATGGCATTCAACTTTGTCCACAATTTAGTCCCAAGCTACTTTGTGATTTTATCACTAACAACATTCTCCTCCACTCTTTATTCCAACACTCTCGATTCAAATAACACTGATCTAATCATAATACTCTAAACAGAACATGAGTTCACTGTTGCCTCCAACTCTCTACACATACTAATTTCCTGTAGCCTACTAGACAGCTTCTAAGATTTCTCCAACTCTAAAATCTATATCCCTATGTTTTCTAGGCCAATCTAAATCTGACCCATCATTCAAAGTCAGCTCAAGTCACATCTTTTCCTTAAGCCTTCTCTCAACACAGCAGTTCACAAGGTCTCTTCCTCCTCTCAGTTCTTATTAAAAACAAATCTTCTTCAGCTTCTCTTCTGTTTGGACAAATCTTGCCTGCCTAGGTCACTGGAAGCTCCCCGAAGGCAAGGACCGTTTTTCATTTTGTCAGGCACATAAAGACACAAAAAGCTAAAAATACTGATGATTGCCAAGAGAACTGTGTGAGTTTTTAAAGTATGTACTTCTGGTAACTATACAGTTTGAAATACTATTTTTACCAGGTTTAATTATTTTATTTTCTGTTATACTATACTTTGAACATAGTTGATGATAAATAAGTCCTTAGTAAAATTGTTAGATCCTCAAAGGCAGGGCAAATGACTTATATTCCTTGTTTGCCTTACAGATATTAATATAATGAATGACACAGTGAATACTAAAAATTTTTGGTAAGAACACTAAACTTATTTGCTGTCTGTTTCTTCATAATTATGCTATATGTTTATAACTATTAGCAAAAAAAATTTATTATGCCAAAAATATATCTGAAAATGTTTATATGCTTATTTAATACTATAGTAATTAATTCCTTTAAAATTATTTTATTTTTTGTTGGAGAGGATGTGGGAAAATTGGAACGCTAATACATTGTTGGTGGAGTTGCAAAATGATCCAACCATTTTGGAGAACAATTTGGAACTATGCCCAAAGGGCTACAAAAATGTGCATACCCTTTGATCCAGCAATAGCACTTCTAGGGCTGTATCCCAAAGAGATCAGACAAATGGGAAAAGGACCCACATGTACAAAAATATACATAGCAGCTCTTTTTGTGGTCGCAAAGAACTGGAAATTGAGAGGATGCCCATTAATTGGGGAATAGCTGAGCAAGTTGTGGTATATGAATGTAATGGGATACTATTGCGCTATAAGAAATGATGAACAGGCTGACTTCAGAAAAACCTGGAAAGACTTATATGGCCTGATGCTGAGTGAAGTGAGCAGAACCAAAAAGGACTTTGTACACAATAACAGCCACGTTATGCAATGACTAAGATTGTTAAACTGAAACTTTCTCAGCATTATGAGGATCTAAGACATTTCCAGAGGCCTCGGGATGGATAATGCTGTTCACATTCAAAGAAAGAACTATGGAAGTCGAATCGCTCTCACTTATTTTTACCTTCTGTTGAGTTTTGTTTCATCTTTCTGATGGTTCCTCCTATTGGTTTTAATTTTTACTTACAGCTTCACTAATGAGAAAATATGTTTAATGGGTATGTAAATGTAAAGCCTATATCAGATTGTGCGCCGTCTTGGGGAGGGTGGGTGGGAGGAAAAGGGAGAAAAATTTTCAACTCAAAAGCATATGGAAAAAATAAAAAAATTTAAATTAAAAAAAAATTAAAATAAAATAAAATTATTTTATTTTCCACAATTACTAAAGAAAAATGCTCTTCAATGCATAGTTAAATATTAGCATAAACAAATATATTAATAATCCTACATGTGTATTTAACCCTCAAATTTCTTACTCATCAGGGTGGCTTTTTATTTCATTAGTTTAAATTTTTTTCCTAGAAATTGTATTTATATTACATTCAGTAATGACTGAAACTAAACTAGACATTTGTATGATAGGTTGCAAATTAATTTGTTAGAACCAAAGTATCCCAGAATTGTTTGTATGAAAAATATCTATTACAAAAAACTTTAAAAGTTCAAATACCACACCCTATACTTCCATCTTCAAAAAAAAATGCAAAAAATACTCCGGTATTTTTCTTGTCATTATTCAAGATCCATAAATACCACAAGCTATAAAAATAAAACTCTTGGTTAACATTTTAATAGACATTGTTTTTGTAGATAGCTGAGTAAACTAAAGCAACTCCATTTTGTCTGTATTTCTTCTATTTTGCCTCTAACCATATTTGCACTGCAGTCTCTGCCTCTGTCTTTGACCTTTCTTACTGATGAAACAGCAAGGACAGTCCTTATCTATTAAGGAGGGATTACAAGAGATCACTAACCTGAAGAAGAACCTTTCCTGTTACAAGTCTCTACAACAGACCCTGTCTAATCAATAAAGGGATACTATATCCCCTAGTCCTACTGTGTAAGCCCCCAGCAACAAGCCATCTCCAATCCAGAGGTACACTCTACCTAATTCACTTCCTGCCTAAAATCAAACCCATATAAGCCTTGTCATTTTGGTTTTCAGGGAGTCTCCCCTTCATCCACGTGTGGGTAGGGCTCCCTTGCAAATGAATTCAATAAACCCTCATTGGTTCCTAAATTTCTGGTTTGGGTTTTAGTTCTGGCTCTGATTAGTTTTGGCACCAAGAATGTTATCCACAGTCTCTATTTTGTAACTGAAAATCCTGAGATTTCTTTTTAAAGTTTTCTTTTCACAAGTAAGAGAAAATGCTCCAAGTAGATAGAAATTGTATATTAACTGCTACATTTCTACATAATTTCTGAATTAAACTGCAAAGATATCAAGTCTCTATGAATTGTATTTTAGATTATGTAATCATCTATATCACACCTACTAACAGTGGATGTACCCCAAAACTCTGTCTTACGTCCTTCTTCTCTTTCCTTTCTATACTCTCCACTTGGTGGTCTTATCAGCTGCCATGCCTTAATTATCAGCAATATACAAATTACAGATATTTAAGCCAAGTCTCTTCCCTGAGCTTCAGACCAACCTCACTAATTATAGTGGGCATTTCTAGCAGGATTTCTGGCAAGCATCTCAAAAATCAACATATCCAAAATACAATTCATCATCACCCCCTCTGTGCCCCATCTCCCCTCTTCCAAACTTCCCTCTTACTAGCAAGAGTATCACAAATCTTCCAAGTCACCCAGGTTAAAAAACCTGGCATCATCTCCAACTTTCCATTCTCACTCTAGACAATAGTCAATCAAACCTTCCCACCTCTGCTACTGTACAAATTTTACTCATCCTTCAAGGATGATATCTCAAGTCCTACCATGTCCCTTAAGCTTTCCTAACCATATCAGTCTATATTAAAGCTCCTTTGTCTAAAGTTCTACAGCACTTAATGCATATGCTTCTTTGTACTCTAACTCATCTTTCTGCATATTCGTCTTCACTCCTCAACTAAACCACGAGCTCCATAAGGGTACAGAGGCCATAAGGCTAGCACAATGCCTCACACTAAGAAGTGGGAGCCTCATAAATATTTCTTAATGATGGAGATTACTTGGGGTCATTTTTTTTAACATCAACATGTATTATACACAGACTATACCTCATTTAGCTGTAGTTGCAACCCATTGACTTTATCTAATAATATTCTTTGTTCTTGTTGAATGTTTCTCAACTTTTCTTTCAAATCTTCATTTTCAGCCTCTAGATCCTTAAAAACACATTGGAAAATAATAATAGGTAAAGGGGCAATTTAAAAAGAAAATTTCTTGTTAATACAACCATAAATACATTTTCTCAGTCTCTTAAGTCAGACACAAAATAACTACTGAAATGCCAACCAAGTTAAAAAATTAACTTTTAAGAAAATAAATACAGGTAATAACAGTAATTAACATTACCTAGGAGTTCAAAGTTTACAAAAAACTTTATATTTTAGCTGCAGTCCTCAAACTGTGCACCATGGCAAATTCACAGGGGCATAATGAGATATTTAAATTTTCAAGAAAAACACAATGATAAACATCTGTTGACCCCTGAATGAACCACTACCTTCATTGTGGTTCACTGTTTCAACGTTAGAAAAGACTACATTTCCTCTTTCAATGATATTCTACTTGAGATAGGTTTTGTTCACTTCTACTTTCCAGCTATGCCAACTACTTCTCTAACTTTCTCATTTGTAACATGTTATCTTTGCAAAATTGGGTTTTCAGCAGTTACTATGATAAAAAGCAAGTACCATGCAAAAATCAACATAAAATAAAAAGGAAATGAGGATATTGGTGTCCAATCTGATTCCAAGGTTTGAGAGGATGTGCAATGCCTAAAAGGTACACACACTTCATTAGTAAGTAACTGTGGTTAAGAATGAAATAAAAATAATACTTCTTCTTTTACTCTATATGTATTGTTTTTTAATTAGCTATTAAGTAATGAGGACATACTTATTCAGTTGTCTTGACCTAACTAATCAATAAATTGAACTTGTGGGTATTTCTTTTGGACTCAGTGCACTGTGAAAAAATTACTGACACACACTAATGTTTGGGAACCTCTGCACTGTCTCATTTGAATCTCACAACAACCTTGTCAGGTGGGTACTAAAGGGATTATTATCCCCATTTTAGAAATGAAAAAACTGAGGCTCAGGGATGAGTCAATGTCAAGTGTTAGAGGCAAGATTTTCATGCTCAGGTCTTTCAGACTCTAATGCTAACATTCTACCTATTCTACCACGCTGCCATTGTAACACAATAATAACAACAATAAATACTAGTATTTAAAAATCAGCATATGAAGGATACCGTTTCTGACAAAAACAAGGTAAAAAGAGTATTAACCAAATGAATCAGAACTATTTTTAGTTTTAAGCCTCCAAAATCTGTAATGAGATCATCCTTCATAATATTTTACTGTCAATAAACAGTAAAACACTTAGGTCATCTGGTAAAAACAAATGAACAATATTAAAAAGTATTTATTACAACATCTATAACCATCTTTTCCCAAGGACAATACATGACAGAAAACGCACAAGAATATGAAAACCAACTGTGTTCTTGTCTTATCAGATAAAAGCTGCTACTGGTATTTACATATAAATTACTTTTTCATGTGTTTCAGCGTTTCAACTATATAAACCACACAGTCACTGTTTCTACTCCAATAACAGGTTTTTTTTAATAAATATTATTTTTTTTCCCTCAACCAGAAGCTACAGGATATCACTATTTTGAGTAAGTCTAAACAAGGCAAACCAAACAAACCCAGCTCAATCAAAAAAGTAGATAGCTATTATGCTGAGATTTTTTTTCCTGGCTAGTGTTTTGAAGTAAAGACCTGTGTTTATGTCTTTCTTCTGACACAGACATGATATGTGGCAAGTGATGTAACTTTACCATATGAAAGGCAACTCTCAAAGACAATATATTACAGAAAAAGTGTCAATCAGAACTGATATCTCAATGTGTATACATATACAGATACACACATATACATATTCACACACGTACAAGTATATATAAGTGTGTTGTGTGTGTGTGTTTGAACTGGACCTGTGATTTTATTGATACAAAAACTCCCAGTGAAAAACTTACTGTGCTTTCAAATGCTATGTAAACTAAATGGTGTCAACTGAGAAAGGTTGGAAAATTTATTTTTCTTTTAAAAGAGAATCAAGCAATAATAGAGACTCCACAATAACAGAAACAAACCTATCCAAATACTTTTGATTTTACTGTTCAAAGGAACATACCATTTCTTTGAGTGTGCCTGCTTCCTGGAGCACTACCTGAACATTTTTCTGCTCCCTCTGATATGATTTTATATTTACTTCATCTTGCATAGGCAACAGATTCCACTTCGATGGAACATGAGATACCTATGTTATTACATTAAAATGTAACAAGGTAAAGTTATGAAAGAATAAAAAGCCTTTAAAAAACCTAATTTGAAGAAAACATTAAACCTAGCATATTTTGATTTATGATCTAGGTTAAGCTTTGCTCTATATTACACAAGGTGGCAGTATTTCTATCTATAAAACCAAAAAGTCCATCTCACTGAAAATAGAACTCACTTTCCAATAACTGTCATTTAAATAATTTTAACCTAGTATTTGAAAACCTCAAAATACTAAACTACTTGAGTAGCAAAGCCATTTGAAAGCACAATATCTTACTTAAATGTATCAAATTCAAATCAATATAATAATTTCAACAAATGTATTCAAAGAAATGATCATATAACTCCAAAACTAAAAATCATCAAAAGAATGTGTTCAAGCCAAGTGACATTTGAGGATTATAATACAAAAAAACAGGAGCCAAATCCATACTGATTTTTCTTTTTGTATTCCTATCACTTAGCACACTGTAGACACTTAATAAATGCTTGTTGAATGAATGACAGTAAAGTAAGCATTTCTCTGGTTGACAAGGGGAAATAAAACTTGTAAGCTTTCTTTCATTCCTAAGTACATGCATGTGTGTGTGTGTGTGTGTGTGTGTGTGTGTGTGTGTGTGTGTGTGTGTGTGTGTAGAGATATATATAGATATATATCTATATCTTTTGAAGTGGGATGACAAGACTTTACAACAAATGGATGGGATAAGGTATCAGCAAAATTCATCCCAAAAATGATTTATTATAACCTAAAACATGATTCATAAATGTGTCAGGGGAGAAGTTTTTGCAGATTCTAAATTTTATCAGCAAGTCAGCAATCTAAAACTAATATATAACTAATAACATAACAGATTATGTTCCTATAACATTGGGAATACAAAAATATATAAATATACACTTACCCCCATTTTAGAAATTAGAAAAATGAGGATTAGAGATAAATTAAATAGCATACTGAAAAAAATTTAGATTAAAGACTCTCAGTGTTCAGGCAGAAATGACCAGGAAAATAGGCCTTGAACCTGAAAATCCTTCAACAAGTCATTACAAAAACCACAACCTATTTAGATCTTTTAAGACATTCAATTTATGTCAATTTGGTAGCATTTGTCTTTTCAATCTAGTAACCCATGGGGAGTTTTTCTGTATTTTGAAATGAGGGCTTACCTGCTGGAAAGATGGTCCTTTCTTTGAAGGTTCTCTTCCTAAAGAACAAAAAAGGAAGGGATGAAAACAACTAACAATAAATTATGTTAGATTGGATATACATTATTCACAGAATCACAGAATTTTAGATTTAGAGGAGACCTTAGAAAGCATGTGGTCCAGTCTCCTGTCACAAACCAGGGCTAAAAGGTAAAGTGACTTCACCTGGGTCACACAGTTATAGTGGCAGACAGGAGGCCCCAACATATATCTCTATACTGCTTTTCCCTATCTATAATTCACTGCTCCTTTATCTTTATTATTTTTTTATCTAAGCTGATTTACTTATTTTATTCATTATAATTTTATTTCCCTCAAAAGAAAAAGTTCAAGAATTTTTAACCTAACAGGGACAAAACCATTTCCCTACAAACAGTAATATTATGACTCCACTTCAGGTTTCTTCAGGTTTCTAAATTACTTCCCAATGGATTAGATTTGCCACAATAATCAAGTTCTCTAAATTCTACTCTAAGGGATCTAAATTAACCAAGTAAAAAAACATTCTACATATCTGTATAAAATATAATATATAAGGAAATAGATATTTAAGACATTTACTAATTGAGACAAACATTTCTTTCAGCAAAGTTTTCTGTTCTCAAAAGTTCAAATATTAAAATTTCTATATGTACTGTTTTGCTGATTTTAACTTGGCTTGCCCAAATTAAGATAATATATCCTAACGAATCATTCACCCTGGACATCTCCTTGCCAGCGTTGCTGCTACAGCATGCATACCACAATACTCTCCACTCCAATGCTTAGAAAACAGTAATCAAACCAATACTACCATTGATTCTGGAAAGGGCATGTCTTTGGCAGGCACTATCTTGTTTTTGTATTTCTATCCTCAAAATTTAGCACAATGCTTGACACATAGCATTTAATAAATGCTTTTTATTCATTCATTCATCCATCAATCCGTTCATTTATTCATTCAAACTTAAGGAAATTTCTGGGTACCTTTATTTGCATTTTCAACTGCAGTCTTCATTAAAGTTAGAATATCCAGATTATCACCAATTCTTGCATAGTAAGAACTATCATGACCAAGGGCATCCAACAAGCTGACATCTGCACCATTTTTAATTAAAACTTCTACAGCATCCTTACAGCCATACTCACAACCTAACATAAGGGCAGTCCTAAAACAAGACACAACCACAATAATGAATCATTGTAAGGAAACATTTGATAGAATTCAAGAAAATTATGGACTGCAATCCCCCTATGATTCATTAGATAAATCCTAAAGAGTTGCCTGAAGAATGATACAGTGGATAAATGACTTGCCTAGTCATACAGCTACTAAGTGTCAAAGGTGGGATTTTAATTTAGGTCTTACCAACTCTATTTAATACACATCAACATCGTTTCAAATAAATTAGGAAATTTGGGTATTGTTTTGATGATAGTTGACTTTGTTATAAAACAACACAGGTTTGTTTCAGGAGGTCTGATGAACTGAGGTATCACAAAAGTCATCATTTCTTTCTCCTCTTTCCCTCTTTTATCTCACTGAAGAAATTTAAACAATTGATATAATTGAAACAGAGTTCCTTTTCATTTTAATTAATTCACATACTTAAATTACACTATTTACATATTTAAATTCCACTGTTTTATAATGAGTCAGAAAATTACATCAGATATCAGAAAGTCAAATTATAAATTCAACCAATACACCTAAAATGTTATTTTTTTTCAGGTATCTTAAGTAAACTAACAATTCAATTTGTTGAATGTTAGTTTTGAGTAGCTTTCATGTAGCTATTGAATAAGTCTCTGGTTTACCTTATGCATCTTACCTAGCTTGCTATTTTTTAATGAAATTATGTTTAAAAGAATTTAATTTTCATAGTCTTAAATCATTGGTTTAAGGTCGCCCCAGTTCTGGATAAATCTGCCATGAAAATATATTTACAAAAAAGAAAGAAAGGAGAAAAGATAATAATAAAATTGATTAACCACTATTTGTTTTACAAAAGATTCACCATAACAGTCAGTCCTCATAGTTAACTCCTGCTTTAATTCAATTTATATAGAACTTTTCATGAATATACATCTATTGCATAAAATGAGGCAGGCATTTTCCAGTTGGCAAAGCCCACATAAACATGAAACTAAATTTAAAAGAATTAGTCACTTAATTACTGACTTAACATTACCTGTTTTGTTTGTCTCTGGCATTAACATCTGCACCTCTATCAATAAGAAGTTGACATATTGCTGGTCTACACATCTGAGTGGCCAGTATCAGTGGTGTCCGCCCATCCTATACAGTAATAAGAAGACAAACTGAAAAGCCAACAAGCATTTATTAAGCACCCACCATGCAGCAATCACTTTGCTAGGTTCTGGGGATACACAGAAAGGCCAAAAATAGTCCCTTCCCTCAAGCAGCTCACAGTGTAATCAAGAAGAAATAGAGAAAAGCAGTTATCACCTACATTATATGAATACATATATATGAATATAAGTTAACTTACCACATCTCTGGCATTTACTGAGGCTCCATGGTCACAAAGTAGCTGTATGCTAGAAGTACAATCTGCCATAGCTGCACATTGGAAAGAAAACATATGCTGATGAGATATTTAAAGTTCTCCTATCAAGATAATACATGAACTGTTTCTAACTTTTAAAAGCTTCACAACCTCCAATACATTGGTCTTAATGATACAGACTATCACATTTCTATTTTAAGAATTATTCGACTAGATCATTTAAAAAATATTGTCTTAATTCACTTTGACTAAACAAATTACTTTTCTCTAATACAAGAAAACTTCCTTGGTCGTGAAGAGAATGTGCTACCATGCATAGAAGAACGTGGATAATTAAGATCAAATTTAAATTTGCTTATTCTCCACTTTTGTACGTGGTAATTAACTGGCCTGCATCTCCATATGTCACCTTAACTTAAAAAAAAAGTCAAATATATTTCATAAGGTTGTCTTAAATAAATGTGTTTCATCTGTCTGCTGATTTCTTTCTAATGTTTTTAGCGCCAGGGTCAGATATTCTAATCTTTACTAAAAGCTTTTTAAAAAACAAACTGGCTATTTTTAACATCTAAAATAGAGGAAAAATAAATAGTATATTCATGAATCAGAGGAATTTATAATCTTGTGGGAAAAAAACTGAATTTGCTAATCCCTCTGAAGTATCAAGATGAAAAGAACACTGGCTTAGCAGTGTCTGTATTGTGAAATTCAGTCATACTTTCATTTCTGAATGTCTTTTGATCAATGCAAAATATTTTACTCAAAACATTCATTGCAAGCATAAACAAAACCTTAATTCATAAAATTCTTTAGTATAAAACCATCTTTCTATTTTTGTTATATATTTTAAAAAGTAAAATATCCTTAATATATTACATTAAAGTGTCATTTGACTAAATTAAACTATGACATTAAACAAGTGAAATGTGATCCAAAGAAATAATTATCTATTAGATACATGATAATATTTAGTTTTATCAATTTTGCGCTTTGAATATATCATAAAGCATAGTTTCAGAAACCGTCTTAAAAGAATGAAAAATAAAGAGAAAATCTTAAAGAAACTAAAATATATACCTTTTAGAAGTAACAATAAAACAAAAACTGGACTATTTTTATGTTAAAAGTTAATTTCTTAGTCCTACTATATTGTTTCTCATACTGATAATAACTGTATCTTTCTATTAAATAAAACTATAGACAGGAAAACTGGTTAAACTGTTTAAGAATTCATTGAATGAAGTAACAGCAAACTAATATAGTATAGTGGAAAGAGGCAAAGAGACTGAGACTGGAGTTACATCTTTGCCATTATATTCTCTATGAACCTGGGGAAATTACTTTACCTTCTAGAGCTCACTTATTCATCTATAAAATGAAAGAATGGACATGTTTTCTAAAGTTCCTTCCTGCTCTAAAATTCTGTGGTTCTATGATTCTCTGTGTGTATGTGTATTTACATATATATATATATATATATATAGCTAACTTCTTGTATTTCAGTCCTATTTTCATCCTTCCTTTTTTTCGATATTTAGAGAGAACCTTCAAAATGATAACTCAGTCACACAAGTACTAACTATACTATTGTAAAATTATTAGTGCAGGGGCATCTAGGTAGTGCAGTGGATAGAACTCTGACCTTGGAGTCAGGAGGACATGAGTTCAAATCCAGTCTCAGACACATGACAGTAGCTGTGTTACCCTAGACAAGTCATTTAACCCTGATTGCCTCACCAAAAACAAAAAGCAAAAAAGCAAAATAAAAAAATTATTGGTGCAAAACCTTAATAAAAGCAAGAAAATAGTGCAAAGATAGAAGACTCGCCCACAACACTGCTCAACCTTTTTTTTTTAATGAAAATACTTTTTAAGAACCAAAGGAAAACTGGCCAACATTCTAAAAGAACACAATATGTCAAATATGCATTTTAAATACATAGCATTTTTAAAAATCTTAAAGTAATTTTAAAAAATTTTAAAAGAAACATTAATAAATAATCTCTTACCACTAGTGAAATTTTTGCTCACCTGCATCATGAAGTGCAGTTCTACCTTGCAGGTCTGAATGTTCAGTGGGGCAGTTATACTATCAACAAATTAATAAATAAACTATTTACTAGGGTTCTATATTAAAAATCAGATCTTAAAATATTTAGCTTTACTCAATGTTCAGTAAAAGTCAATCTATTTACATTTTTCCTTGTTTCATTATCTAGTTTGACAGAATGCCCAAACAAATTATACAAAGTAAATGTGTAATAAGATTTCACTAAAGATGAAAAAAATGATTTATTAAATAACACAGAATATAAGGTATCTTCATGAGTTTTTAAATCAGAAGACAAACTATGCTTAAATTTCAACAACCAGAAAAAGTCTCAACCTGTATTATTAATGTAATAACTTACTAATTTTAAAAAACAAAAAACGTTTACAGAAATGTCCATTTGACCAACCCTTAAAACATTTAATTCAAGGAATCTCAAATTCAGTAAAAACCACCACCATCATAACAAAATTACTCCTTGACATTAAATAATCAGTTGAATAACTGAATTTTTCACTGGTTGTTGTAAGGCTCTATAAACAATGCTTGCTGGCTGACAGACTCAAGCCAATAATGTATAAAAAGTCTTTTAAATGGAAAGAAAACAAAGGAGTACTATATGTTGAATTATCTTAATTTTAAATTAGGTCATAAACATATAAATTAAAATGCCAAAAATTTCTAATCTCAGCTAATGTCAACAGGAAGGTAGTCTTCATAGTTTATTTTTAATACACTAAGTTATGCAAATCATTTTCCCCATAATTTTCTTTAGCATTCCTCCATCCAAAAAAAAAATTAATTCAGGACTGAATTAATCCAAAGTTTGAAGAACACATTAAAACAATCCTTAGCATATAATTAAAAGAATTTTTTAAAATCAGTTTAATTTTCACTACCTGTAAAAGCTTTTGTAAGCACAAAGCATGTCCATATTTTGCAGCAAGGTGAAGGGCATTTCTCCCTATGAATAAAAGTGTAATTAATATGAATATATTTGAATAAGTATACACATAAACAGAAAACTAAGAATTTTTTATAACCTTGGTCACTAGAAATGGATGACCCAATAAGATTTTCTTAAGTAACAACTAAAAGTAGAATACAACCAAAGAAAATACAATAAAAGAAGATCACACATACTAATATCCACATGTTGGTATCTTAAGTACCTGGTATTTTTTTTTCCCCTTAGTAAAAAGTTACCAAATGTCCTGGAGAAGGTGGTGTGGAAAGGGGACAACGAAAAAAGTTTGACAGCAGCCAAAGCAGCAACATCCCCTGACTAATTCCCACTAATCTCCCATATTAAGGAGCGTTTCCAATTAATGAGGATCTTCTCGTATATAATTCATGTAAAACTGTGTGATTATAGAGATCTTGGGGGCATGAGTGCGATTAAAGTATGAAGTCTCTCCTTTATAATACATTCTTCACACAGCTATCAAAATAATTTTGTTAAGTAAGGCACACATATGTTCAGGTCCTCAGCTCAAAAACTTTCCTGGTTCCCTAATGCCTCAAAATAAAATACAAACTCTTTAGCCCTTCCAATCTGGCTTTCACCTACCAGTTTTATTTCACATTACTCTATTTGATGCATTCTTACATTCCAGTCAAATCAGAATACTAACCTTTTCCTTCACTCATTCTGCCATTGTTCCTGTGTATTTTGTCCCAGTGTAGAGCCTCCTTCTTTTTGGTCTCTTTGCCTCAAATCTCCCTCTATTCCAGTACATCTTCAATTTTTCTATCAAAATGATCTTAAAGCACAGGTCTGACCATGTGACACCTACACCCACCTGCCACTCCGCATTCAGTGTATTCAAGGGGCTTCCTATTACCTCCAAGATGAAACTTAAAATCCTCTGTTTGGCTTCTAAAGCCTTTCATGACCTGACCCCTTCTTCCCAATCTTTTTACACTTTATTCTGCTCCACATAACTATGATTCAGCAACACCAGCCTCTGCTGTTCCTCACACACAACAATTCATCTCCCACACCTCTGTGCCTTTTCACTGTCAGTCCCCCACGTGTGGAGTGCTCTCCTTTCTTGTCTTTGCCTCTTAGATTCCCTGACTGCTTTTAAATCTCAGATAAAATCCCATCTTCTATAAGAAGGCTTTCCAGGTTCCCCTTAATGCTAGTGGCTTCCCTCTGAGATTACCTCCAATGCATCTTGTTTGTACATAGTCGTTTGCATATTGTCTCTCCGGTTAGATTTTGGGCTCTAGTTTTTTCCTTTCTTTGTAACCTCAGTTCTTAGCACAGTGCCTGCCACACAGTAAGCATTTAATAAATGTTTTGTCAACTGTCTCCCATTCCTGGGATATACTTCTTCCACTTCATCTTTCAGAATTCTTTTCTTCTTTCAAAGCTCAGCTCAGGTACCATCTCCTCCATGAAACCTTTCTTGATCTTCATCCCCCTCTTTTCTTCCTCTTCAAATCTTCCTAGGGCACAGTCTCAATCTCACACTGCTCTCAACACACTTTGTTATGCCTTTCCATTTCTAAATATAATATAAATATTGATTTGTATATCTGTATTTACAACATTTTTCCAGTCATTTAAAGCTAGAAAGTTGTCCCTCTTCTAAAAAGCTTGAATGAGACAATTAGTGCCTTACAAATTATTCTGTGTTCTACAAGTAAATTTTAAAGAAAACTTAATACCTGCAGCATCACTCGCAGTAATGTCAACTCCATGTACAAGAATGGCATTCAAACACTCCAAATTTCCCTTTGATGCAACAACATGGAATCTAAACAAAAAAGAAAAATTACAATATCGTACAAGAAATGCCAAATAAAAACTAAAATATATTGAAATCATATTTCATCATATCATATATCCAAAACATATCAAAGATAATCCTATAAATTTTTTACTGTAAAGTCTATATTAAACTTGCTTATTTTTAATTAAGTTGAAAAGTTCCCTAAAATGAAATTTTAAAAGAAATAAAATTTTAAACAAATTCCGCATAATTCAGAAAACACAAAAAGAATCTAATCTCAGGACTTAAGTCCTTTTCACCAGCTGAAGTACTTTCTCTGACTTTCATATACCTAAGTCAAGCACAAGGCTGGCAAATACTATTGCCTTACAAATACAAAGTGTATCAACACAGACAATAGACAATATCATACCCATGTGGAATTCTTTTTGTAAGCGAGAAGAAAAAGGGAAAAAAAGGAAAGAGACCTTAGACTTATTCTCAATTATAATTTTTTTTTAAATTCTGAGGAAGCATGTTATAATAGATATCTGGATTTGTTTGTGAGAACTTGGGTTCAATTTCCAGTTTTGCTACTTCCCACCTATAACCCTTAAAGGAAGTCACATTATTTTCATAGGCTTCAGTTTCCTCCATCTATAAAATAAGAGAATGGAATTAGACATTCTCTAGACTCTAAATCCTATGATCCTAAATGGCTTGGTATATGTGACAGGAATTAAATACCTGGGATGGGAAGGAAGGAAAGAAGACATGGGAAGTAGCCTGACAGTTTTGCCATAGGCTCAGAAACATATGGGGCAAGACCAAGTGATTTCTTGGACCTGTGATTTCATTTGTACAGGAAGCTCCCAGATAAAAAAATCATACAGATAGGGACCTTCTCTGTATAGTCTTATAAAGCTGCCTAGAATACAGAAAGCAAGTAGGATCACTTCATTAGTATGTGTCAAAAGGAAGAAAAAGAATGAAGAATTAGGAGGAGTAAGAAGGGAGAAGAGGAGAATGAAAAAGAGAGGGAGGGAAAAAGGAAAGAGGGAAGGGGAAGGAGAAAAAGGAAGGAAAAAGAAAATAGAAGAAGGGGGAAGAGGAGGAGGAAAAGAAGTATTTATATAGGGTTTTATGATTTGGAAAGTGCTTTATATGTTAGCACTTTACAGACGAGGAAACTGAGGCTAAAGAGATTAAGTGACTTGCAAAATGTCAAGGCAAAAAATGAAGAACTCTAATATATCCTTTAACATAGGGAAGTTTTAGGACTGTCTTTAGTTCCTCAAACAGTAAGAATCCGAGACAAGATTTGAACTTAAGTAGAGTCCCTGAGGGAGCCCGGAGGGGGTGGGGGGCGGGGGGGAAGAAACATATATGTTGGGAGTCAGGAATCTATATGAAAATTCCAAGAAACTTTCAGGAAATCCTCAAATTAGCAATCCTGCAAACATCCCATCCTGATTGCTGACAACCTGTTCTAATGAATGGGTCTCTTTTTTTCCATCTTTTTTTTTAAAAGAAAATGTCTACTTTCTTTAAAGATATTTCAGTTATTTTTTAATTAAATTTGTTGTGTTTTTTTTTATGCAAGAGAAATCTATTTTCTTTCCCTGCCAATCCCCACCTAACTGAAGAGGGAAAAGAAGAAACAAATTCCTTGTAACAAACGAGCACATTCAAGGAAAACAAATTCATTCAGTGGACTAGTTTTCTTTTTTTTGCTAGGCGGTGGGGTTAAGTGATTTGCCCAGGGTCACACAGCTAGTGAATGTTATGTGTCTGAGGCCGCATTTGAACTCAGATTCTCTTGACTCCAGGGCCGGTGCTCTATCCACTATGGCACTTAGCTGCCCCCTAGTTTTCTTTTATTTAAAGCCTTGTTCTACATCCTGAATCCCAGCACCTTTCAGTCACAAGATGGATAGCAAGCTTCATCATCAGTCCTCTGGAATCATGGACTGTCACTGTGTTGCTAAGAGTTTTCATAGCTTTTTAAGTTGTTTGTTTGTGGTGGTGGTGTTATTATATAAATTCTTTGTTAGTTTATGTGTCCTCAAAATTGTTCACTTTTATACTATTAATGTTACAGTGAAAACTGTTCTGGTTCTGGTCATTTCACACTGTATCAGTTCATACAAAGCTTTTCTTGTCTCATTGAAATCATATTTCTTCATTTCTTACATCACAATAGTATTTCACATTATAATTTGTTGTACATGTATACATATCAATTTATTCAAATACTGAGGAGATCAAAACTAATCCTGTATCACTACCTTACTGATCCTATCCACAATGGTTCTCTGCCTCTAAACTTAGTTCAGAATTCAGCTGACCTGTAATGGGTTAAATTTAGAAATCCAGTTCTCTTGCTAATCACTGATCTATTCTTGCCTCAAGGAATTCTGCTAACCTTGGGGGATGTCACTTGCCACAAGGGAGCTAGGCCTAATATTTTTACATCACCAAACCATCCTTCAAAGGCGTCCGGTTTGCTATCCAAAGAAGTCTGGACCACTATCTTGCAGGTAGACTCAAACAACAAACACTTCTTAGTCACAGCAAGGAAAAAGGGGGGTTTGTTGCTAGCCTCCATTCCCAACTTCCAACCAATCATATTGTTCCCCACACCTCAGCTACGTAACCAATCATGTTTTCCCACAACCCCATTCTTGTTCTATACTCCCCAAAACCTATATAAGGGGAGCTGTCTTTTTGCTCAAGGTCTTTAGCTAGAAACTTAGGCAGAGACTGACCCATCTTATTTTCAGGTTATTAGCCCTAATAATAAAATGTTATCTTGCTTGGAGAAGCATGGCTCAGTTTGTTTTATTTCACTCGCAACATATATACTATATTTTGCTTCAGTCTTCCCCAATTGATGGGCATCCCATTAATTTCCAGTTTCTTACCAATACAAAAAGAGATGCCAAAATATTTTTGTACATTTAGGATCTTTTCCTTTTCCGTGGAACTCCTTTGGGCGTTGGCCTAGCAGCATTTAGTGCATTATTCCAAATTACTTTTCAGAATGGCTGGACCCATTCACATGTCCACCAACAATGCATCAATGTGCCTGTTTTCCCAGACCCCTCAACAACTGTCATTTTCTCTTTTTTTGTCATTTTTGTCAAGCTGATGGATGTGAGACAGAATTTCAGAATTTAACTTTTTTTTTTCTATCAGTGATTTGGAGCATTTTTTTAATATGCCTATAGATGGCCTGGGTTTCTTCCACTTACCTATTCAATCCTTAGACTACTTATCAATGGGGAAATGGCTCTTATTCTTATAAATTTGAATCAGTTCCTTAAATATATAATCTTGGAAATGAGACTTTATTGGCAAGACTTGCTGCAAAGACTCTTTTCCCAGTTAACTGTTTCCTTTTTTGTGACAGGACCAATATTTTCCAGATACAGCTTCCCTGATTTCTCTGACACAGCTTTCTCCTCCCCATGTAACCTGATTGGTCTAACTTCCCTGATTCAGCTTCCTACTCAGGAAGCATAAAAGATCCCAACCAAGAGGCTCATACTAGGTGGGTGCCTGAAATCATGCCAGTCTCTAGCCTGATGACTTATTGACCAAACAGTCTCCAGATGGAGACCAGGAGGAGCTGGGGGGGAAGGGGGGGGACCACCTCTACACTCCAAGAAGTTAAGTGTCACTGCATCCTTTTTGTATATTCTTGCTATTTTAGGACAAAGTAAACCTTCTCCTTTGTTAAATGTTCAGTGACTTGTGAGTGCCTCATTTCATCTCAACACTGAATCTGAACTAAGATGGTTCTGGCTTTATAACAGTACCTAAGACATGTTTTAATCTTAGCTCTTCTATATTTATTTATGCAAAACCTTTTTATTTTCATATAATCGAAATTATCCTTCATGTAATCAAAATTTATATTCTATGACCCTCTCTATATCCCTTGTTTGGTAATGAAATTTTCTTCTAACCATAGATGTAATGGGTAATGTTTTCCACATTTCTCTAATTTATTTATGATGTGACCTCTTATGTCTGTATCTTAGATCAATGTGCAACTTATCTTGGTATAAGGTATGAAATGCTGGTAAAAAAACTAATTTCTTCCATATCGCTGTCCAGTTTTCCCAGAAATTTTTTTTCAAACAGAATCCTTGCTTCTGTTATATTGCATAAACTAATCTATTCTACAGTTCTATCTTTATTTTTTAACCTGTACCAAACTGTTTTGAAAATTAATGCTCTGTAATATAGTTTGAGATCTGGTACTAGGCTCCCCTCTTTCCACTTTTTTTCCCATTATTTCCTCTTAGTCCATCTTAAGGGTACTATTTGCAGCTGGGCTGGTGGGGATTGGGTAATGTAGTAAAGAAACCTAGATAGCAAAAAAATGGAAACAAAATGGTTGTCTATTGGTTGGGGAATAGATTGTGCTATGTGAATGTAATGTAGTATTTTATTACCATTAGAAATTATGAATATGAGAAATTCAAAGAAACATAGAAAAATTTTTCTTGAACTCCTGTAAAGAACCAGGGGAATGACTATGATGTTATAAATAAAATCAACACTAAAACTCAGCTGAACTCATAGATGATGAAGCACTTCTCCCCTCTGGTTAGAAATAAAGGGCTATATATGAAGAATATATCTTGCTAGACAGGTTGTCAGTAGATTTTGCTTAACTTTTTCTTTGTTACAAGGGAGGGTTCAATGGAGAGGGGGAGTATCAGGAAATGAATAGAATATTAAATATCAAAAGGCATCAAAAAACTGTTTTTAAACAATAAAGACCAATAGACTCTCAGGAGACCCAGACTCTAGTCTGGACTCAAAAGGCAAATATAAACTATGTAACTTTGGGCAAGTCACATCTCCAGGGCTTAACTTCCTAATCCATAAAATGAGAATATTAAACTGAATTATTTCTAAGGCTTCTTTTAGCTTTAAAATTCCCTCTTTCTATGAAAAGGCATTTGTATGTTTCATAGATAGTAAAGATTATGTATTCAAACTTCTATTCCACTCCTCCTTTTTCCCTCTCA